GGAGCCCAGCAGGTTGAGGCTGTGGTGGCCGGGAGCGGCCATTGCACTCCAGTCTGGGTGACAGAGTGAGACTCCAACTCAAAAAAACTCAGCTGGGAACAGTGACTCACACCTGTAATCCCAGCACTTTGAGAGGATTGCCTTGAGCTCAGGGGTTCAAGACCAGCCTGAACAACATGGCGAGACCTTGTCTCTATAATAAATCAAAAAATTAGCCTGGCGTGGTGGCGCACGCTTGTGGTTCCAGGTATTTGGAAGGCTGAGGTGGAAGGACCACCAGTGCGCAGCAGATTGAGGCTGTGGGGGCCATGAGCATAGGCAACAGAATGAGAATCTGACTCAAAAAAAAAAAACAACTCATGACAAAGGAATAATGACTGGGAGAGTGGGCACACAGGATTGAGGGACACCTGGTAATGATCTGTGTTTTGATCTGGATTCTGGTTACATGAGTGTGTTTAGGTTGTGAAAGTTTATTGAGCCATGCGTGTATTTTTGTCCTCTTTCATGTGTATATGTACTTCAAATTGTTTTAAAATTCCCATCCCACTGCTCTAAAAAATAAAGTTTATTAATTTTTTTTCAAGCAGTCATGCCAGTATTTATTAGGTCCTCTACCAACTGATTTCTCCACCCTGTTTGGAATCTTCATGTTTTGTCTCTCTGACGGTGGGTGTTCATCTCACTCTCCGAGGTGACTAGTCTCGTCAAGTTTCTGGTTGTGATTTAGCTTCTTGTGCAGGTTATGCTGACAGCTGTTTTGTTTCGTTTGTAATTTATTCATTTGACAAATAGCACTTTTTGTGTGCCAAACTCAACCCTGGGTTTTAAAGGCAAACAGGACACAGTTTAGAGTCTAGGGAACATTTTGACTTGGTCTCACCTGCATGCTAAACCTAAACACTTCAGGATTTGCCTTCAGCTAGAAGTAACAGAATCCTGAAAAAGAGTAAATAAAGTAGAAATGTAGACTTTCTTAGCTGGGTACAGTGGTTTCTGCCTGTAATCCCAGCATTTTGGGAGACTGAGGCAGAAAGATCACTTGTGCCCAGGAATTCGAGGCCAGCCTGGGCAACAGAGAGAGACTTCACCTCTACAAAAAAAATCAAAAAATTAGCCAGATGTGGTGGCACAATGCCTGTAGTCTCAGCTACTCAGGAGGCTGAGGTGAGGGGATCTCCTGAGCCCAGGAGGTGGAGGCTGCGCTGAGCTGTGACTGTGTCACTGCACTCCAGCCTGGGCCACAGAATGAGACTCCGACTTAAAAAAAAAATATATACATACATATGCACATACATATATATATGTATGTATTTTTTTTTAAAGAAAGTTCTTTCAACACAATCTTCTGTGCAGTTGGCCTCTGACCCACTGGTCCTTTTTTGGGACCGTCCCCGTTACAGCTCTTGATCAGACGAGAAGCTCCCTGGGTCCGCTGCTTGGCTCTTGTCCTGGAGCTGTTCTGTGATTTTGTTCTGTGAATTTCCTGTTGTCTTTCTTTCCGCTTGCTGCTTTGTTTTGATAGAGTATATTATATTGTGTGTTTAAAAACATTATTTTTTGCATGTAGGCTCCTAGAATTGTTAATAAAAGTCTGGATATCATCTAGGTTCTTATCCCTTTATATACAACCTACCTTTTTTCTCTGTAGAGACTTTAGAATCTTTTTTCCTCTGGTGTTCTTAAATTTTACAGCGATGTGACTGTGTGCATCTATGTTTTAAAACTTGTGATGATCCTTTAGTGTATCTTTTCATTCAGAAAATTTTTCCTCATCTCTGGGAAACTCTTGAGTTATTTCTTTGATAACTTACTCTTGTCTCCTGCACTTTTTCTGGAACTCCAGTTAATTGATTATCACACCTCCTGGATTGAGTTTCTGGTTGTCCTTTTTTTTAAAAATGCCCCTCCAATTTCTCATCTTTTCTCCTTTTTGCTCCATTGTCTGGGAGCTTTCCTTGACTTCTTGACACTTTTTTTTTTTGAGTTGGAGTCTCACTCCGTCGCCCAGACTAGAATGCAGTGGCCACTCCCGGCCACCACAGCCTTGACCTGCTGGGTTTCGGCGATCCTTCCGGCTTAGGCTTCCAAGTAGCTGGAACTACAGGCATGCGCTACCACGACCGGCTGATTTTTTGATTTATTGTAGAGATGAGGGCTTGCCAAGTTGCCCAGGCGGATCTCGAACCTGCGGGCTCAGGCAATTCACTCACCTCAGCCTCCCAAAGGCGCAGGATTACAGGCTGAGCCACTGAGCCCGGCTTGCCACTTTTTCTAATGAGTTTTTCACTAAAAAAAATTTTTTTGAAGGACTCTTTGTTCTGTTTGCTTTCCCCAGCATTCTGTCCTCCATGTTATCTTATCTCTTTAGATTATTGATTATAATGTAATCTCAGTTCTTTTTCTGTTTGTTTGGCTTTCTGTACATTGAAAGCTGTGTTTGTGTTAAGTTTGGCAGCACATCACAGAGACTTGGAGTAACAGTGACCCAAGGATAGTTTATTTTGCGCTCATGGAAAAGGCTAGAGGTATGCAAACCAGGGCTGTGCTCTGCTCCACAAGGCTTTCATGTACCCAGGATGCTTCTCATTTCCAGGCTGGAACTCTGGCCTTGTGGTCCAGGATGAGATCTCTGAGCTCCAGGCAGCAGAAAGGAAGAAAGGGCTGAGGGTACGTACCAACTCTCTGAGAGACGCTTCTGCTGAATTATGTTTTTCAGAACCTGTTCTCTTAGCCTTGCCTAGCTGCAAGGAAGGCTAGAAAATATCTATATTCTGGTTGTGCATGCTCCTGGCAAAAAATTCAATTACTGTGGAAGAAGAGAGCAGATCCAAAGACTTTCCTCAAATGGCTGGTGCTTTTTGACCACTAAGATTTGAAAAAGCCATCAAAGAGCTGATTGAGTTCAACTGGAGAGAGGGACTTGCACCTTAGGAAGTGTTGCGGTTAAAAAAAAAAAAGTTAATTGGGGTCTGGTGCAGTGGCTCATGCCTGTAATTCCAGCACTTGGGAGGCTGAGGCAGGCAGATGACTTGAGTCCAGGAGTTTGATACCAGCCTGGGCAATATAGTGAGACCTTGTCTCCACTGAAAAAAAAATAACTGGGTATGGTGGCATGTGCCTGTAGTCCCAGCTCTCCAGGAGGCTGAGGCAGAAGGATTGCTTGAGCCCAGGAGGTCGAGGCTGCAGTGAGTGCCACTGCAATTGAACCTGGGTGACAGTGAAACCCCAATTCAAAAAAAACAAAAACTGGGAATTCCAAGGGCTTGGTGCAGCAGATTGCAGTGTGATCAGATAGACTTCACTTGTCAAGAGTATGCGTTTCCTCAGAGGCCATTCAGTCTTCTTCCCACCCCATGTGTGTGCCAAGGCACCAGCATCCCGGGAGGGGAACAGAGGGCAGGACAGAGATTCTCCTGTCTGTTGACACTTTCCTTGCATATCCCTGCTGTCAGTATACCCCCTTCCTGCCCTCTGTTCCATGCTGTGCCTGAATGAAGAACCTCTATGGTTCCATCTGTGCAGAAAACAGACCTCCTGATTCCTGAGGTGGCGGCCATCTGAGCGTGGGGCAGTGAGTGGGGGAAGCGTTTGACCTGTCCTCCTTCACTCAGCTCACCGCTGCCGTCTGACAGCTTGATTCCTGGTTCCATCAGTTCCTGGTGACACTGTCTGCCAAGTCAGTCGTCACACTGCCACCCACTCTGGCGCATTGGGTTTGTTATTGATCCTCTTCCTGTCTTTTGCTCTTGTTGGAGAAAACCTTTCTTTTTCCTGTAAGGTCAGGAGGGAGTGGAGGGTAGATGTTAAGTCTGCTGTGCTCAGCAGGAAGTGTTTTTTGTTTTTTGGTTTTGAGTCGGATTCTCACTCTGTCGCCTGAGCTGGCATGCAGTGGCACACTCATGGCCACCACAGCCTCGACCTGCTGGGCTCAGGCGATCTTTCCGCCTCAGAATTCCAAGTAGCTGGAACTGCAGGTGCACGCCACCATGCCCGGCTAACTTTCTGATTCACTGTAGAGACGAGGCCTCGCCAAGTCGCCAGGCGGGTCTCGCTCGAAGCCTGCGGTCGTCCCCTCGCCTCGGCCTCCCAAAGTGCTGGGATTGCAGGCGTGAGCCACCACCCCCGGCAGCAGCATGCCTTTTCCTAGTAGAAGTTTCCTCAGTCTTTGGAGCAGCAGACTGACCTGTATTGAGCATCACTGTGTTTCCAGCCATTTACTCAGCATTATGTGTGTAACACGAGAAGTGTCAGGCAGGGCTCTTGCTTTTAAGAGACTTGAATCCAGGTAGAAAGATCAAACGTGGCTCAAACAGCTAACAAGCAGCTGGTTTGAGTGTGTCTCCCCAGAGTTCATATGCTGAACCTAATCACTAATGTGGTGGTATTGGGAGGTGGTTAGATCTTGAAGGTTGAGCCCTTATGAATGGATTAATGCCCTTATGCGAGAGGCCCTAGAGCACTGCCTTGTCCCTTTCACCATGTGAGGACACAGCGAGGAGGTGTCAGTGGGGCCTCCCTAGACCCTGAATCTGCCTGTGGCTTGATCTTGGACTTCCCAGGCTCCAGGAGTGTGAGAGAAATTCCTGCTAGCAAGCTTACCTACTCTATGGTATTTTTGCTGTAGCAGCCTGAATGGACTAAGTTTAGGTACTTAGTGCTGTGGCTTTTCAGAGAAGAGGAAGATTTTTGTGGGTAGAACAGCAGGTAGAGGCTTTGAGGAAATGGGGCTTCAGCTGTGTTTCGAGGGACAAAATGATAGGGAAATAGGGCGGGAGAAATTAACTCAGGGCTGGAGGAACGATTGAGCAAAGGTCTGGAAGTGAGCAGAGCCTGTTCAGGAAGCAGCTGGTCGATTTCTAGTCTGAAACACAGGTCACATTTAAAAAGCAGGTACTCAAAATGAAGGCCAGATTCAGGAAGACGTTAAAATGCGTATGGATGGGTTTTGGACTAGCTGAAGTGGATGGTCGGGAGCCATGGAGGGAGACTGCATCGGGGAGAGGAGTGTTGCCGGAAGCGGCAGTCGTGTGCCGGAGCTTATGAAAGCCCAGCGTCTCAAAATTTGATGGCAGAGTTTTCGGGGATTTTGTGACCTTGGTTAATGTCATCTTGGCAGCTTGAAGGCAGCCCTGGTAGAAATATTTATTCCACAGGAATAGGCAAATGCTACAAAGTTTCGCCTCCCCTACCTCCCCCCACTTCGGCTGGGTACTAAGTGTTTTCCAGCACACCACTGTATGCAGGACTTGTTGAAGGGACAGCTACAGGTGTTTTTTTTTTGAGTTGGAGTCTCATTGT